TTAGCGGCAAATCGTCATCGCACTCACGTTCACGCTCACAATCGCACTCATCGAAGTCGAGATCGAAGTCTAAGCCGAGACGAAGTTCAAGCAAGCGCTCTACGCGTTCGGGGCATCCGCATCGGGGTTCGAGAGATCAGTTGCATCGTTCGCACGCTCCGAGACGCGTTTACTAGGTGGCTTGTCTTTCGGGGCTTGGGGGATGGGTGGGGGATGATGGATGATGGGATGGAGGGGCGGGTATGATGTGTAGAGTTAGTATGTGCTGTACTTTGGATATGTCAGAGTGAGATTTTAGGTGATAGTACCTGGGCAGCGGAGGGTGCAGGGTGGTGTGAGAGGAAGCAGGATTGCGGATGGATGGCAGCATGATCAGAAGAGCACATGGACAAGTACGAAGGTTTTGCAGAAGAGAACCCCCAAGTGGTACTTCAACACTCATCGGGAGTGCTTGGGCTTAAAGGAGGGCGGTGATTATGTCATGGGGGACTATCAAAGATTAAAAGTCTACCTTTACCTTCACCTTCATACATGTCGCGCATCTCCCACCACTTGCCAAACGCTAGCGCACATCCTAAGCACTAGCCGACTATAAACTGGCCTTGTCGTCGACGTCGACTTCCATAATTCTTTACACCACACCATGGCGCGTCCCAACATCGAGAAACGCGGTCCGAAGACTCCTACATCCAAGACGACAAGTAGAGTCGCAAAGCCCAGTGTTTCTCGCGTCACCAGAAGTGAGACACTACGTCGGGCAGCCATGTAAGTTTTTCAGAGCTCTCTGACATTTGACATCAGCTGATGAGATCGTGTTCAGTACTCAGCATAACAGCAACTCACCTCTCCTTCGCCTTCCAGCCGAGATTCGGAACCAGATCTACAACTACGTTATAGGAGGCCAGGCTTACGTGATTAATAAGAGATCTTGGAGAAAACCGCCCTACTATCTCGCCCGAAGAGGTTTCCATGGATTCCATTGGCGTGAGCAGACAGCTCTCCCCCGAACTTGCCGCCAATTCCGCCACGATACAAGTGTACTTTTCTTCCAGAACAACATCTTCATGGCCAGCTTTACCGAACCTTCCTCAAATATGAACGGATGGATGCGTACATTGCAGCCGTATCACGCAAGTGCCATGCAGACAATATTATGGGCACTTTGGGGACCACGCAGCGACCCTGAGGCTCTGAAACGTCTCTTGGCTGACTGGGTGGGAATTAAGAGGGTTGGGATATGTTGTCACAGCGCTTCAAGTGACAATGTAGCAAACCAAGAAGCCCTGAAGATTGCAGGTTTCGAGTCTGATGGAACAGTTGAAGCGGTGAGATCTGGCCTCGGCATAATGTGGTATGAGCGGTCTTAACCAGCTCACCAGTAAGTGACTGTTGTGCCACTCTTTCGCTATATCGGCTAACCTGAATGTCCAGACATGTCACGTCACCATGTGGCGCTTGCTAAGCTCGGTCAAGAATATCGGCATGTCTCATTGGTGGGGTTTGGTTTTTACATAGTGCTTCACCACCAGCGATGGACTCAAGGACTTTAGTTCCTTCCTAGCTGAAGCGATCCAAGACTCCCAGTGATGGTTGGGTTACCATGAAAAGTTTGCTTTGACTTTCTCCATCTCTCATTTCCTTCTGCGCAGCAGCAAAAGTCTTCAAACGATTACTATACCGATAGCACATACGATATGAAAGGCATCAGACTGCTTCCAAGAACATTGATTCACATAATGGTTCCTTGTGTGATCTTCCTATCTTCCACACTATCTGCCAATTTATTTTCTACCCCGATGGCTCAATGGTAGTTATCCACAATGTCATAATGACCATAAAATTGATCCTCAACCCTTCGAAAACCTCGAAGTGGACCTCTGCTTTGCACTGACTTCGCTTTAAGCCACTTCTGCAGTATCCCCATCAGCCTCTCTTTATAGACTGCCTCAAGTCGTTCAAACGTCTGCCATTTATGCTCCCGCAGTAATTCCAGGTGAAGCAAGTCTGACCTACATCGCACGTCAGTAAGAATACGTTACCAGACTCTTTCTGTAAATCATAAACCACTCACCAGTATATCCCAACTTCTACATTCTTCCCCTTTATAGCGCTGCCGATCTCCTCAAAGCATTCTCGCAAAGGTATATTTGTTTCGATACCACTCCATTCCCACTCTTTTATGGCTTTCATCTCTTCGGTCGTTGGTAGCGTTTTTGAGAAGATCAAGTGATCGCGTGGTAGACATTCTAGCACATGCAAGCCCAGGTCGAGATGGGTAAGCGCCGGGAATTTCGCCAGAAGATTCGACGCAAACCATAATCTAGACTGCTCCACCAGACCGTTTCTTTCGTCGAATAAACGGATAGAGTACAAAGGCAGCGAAAGCTTCCGTATAAGACAAAGGTTATGTGCACCAATCTTCAGCGAGAACGTCGTGAGGAGACTCTGGTAGCCATGTTTCCCGTGTGCGGGTATGAGATTGAAGCAGTAGAAACCGAAGAAGTAAGTGCGCACTTCTTGTGAGATTTGGCGGCTTGTCAACATGAGACTCCAGAGGATGGGCCGCGCGGATGATTCGAGGGCTTGAAAGGTGCGGCGGTAGCAAAGGCGGACACCGACCGAGAGTGAGTCAGGGTCGCGTTTGTTGAAGAGGTATCGGTAGATTTGCTGTCGGACTTCTAGGGGAAGCTTTTCGAAAGAAGATTGTGCGGGTTGGGTCGGAGGGGATGAGATAGTAGGGTTTGGTTTTACCGCCGACAGGGAAGTCATGATGCCGTCTAGTGTTGCGGATGAGGAAGACATGACTGGAAGATGTTGCCCTGATGGCGCCGCAGTATCTTGAAGATGAATACAGAGCGAGTTGAGGGATCAAGAAAGTAGAGCTATAGTTGACTGCGTGTATTGTTGATGAAAGACTGCCCCTGGGTAGATAAGTAGGCTAAGGGACTGTGCAAAGTCCAAACCGCGGTAGCTCGTAGCTCACCTAGTTAGATTCGCCACATGTACTCGCAGAGAAATGGCACCCCATTCACTCGACCTGTCAGCGCTCCATAGCAAGTACTCTAGCTTATCGTTCTCTTCACCCGCTTGACAAGTCGCTACAGTCTTGCTGGCTTATCGAAAGCAAACAGCGACCTCCCCTTCTTCTCACCATCTTGCCAAACCCATCCGCTTTTACCCACAATCTCGACCGCACCACTAGCCATCTGTCGCAATGTACTTTCATCTCCATGGTTCGAGAGGAAACGTTTGTTGCTGCTCTTTAAGCGACCGATAATGTGACCTCGAAGCGGGCTGCCGTCTCGGTTGAACTCTACGGTGTAAGTTTCGACAACAGCCTCGCCCTCTGGGTCGAAAACGAGCTCGGGCGCGGGCACATCAGTAATTTGCGGCGGTAGAGGGTTCTCTGTCGGATAGTTTCCTTCTCTTCTAGGCTCTTTCGACAATATCACGACGTACTGATAGCTCAGAACGCCGCCATTGCAGAGCACCAGTCCTTTCTGGCCTTTGCCGTCTCTCAGCTGTCGCGTCATCTCAGTGAGCGCATGCATCGAGTAGTTATTACCAGCTCCGCCAAACGATGTCAGACCACCAAGTATCGTCAATGGCTTTTGACGACCAACCACAGGTATTCCTAGATGCTGCGCCGCAATCTTAGGCACGATAGGGAAGCAGGAGTATATATCAACTATATCCATCTCTTCTTTGGTCGTACCAGATGTCTTCAAACTCGCATCGATAGAGCGCGATATACTGGGCGAAGAGTAGAAGTTCGGTCGTTTCCAGAACTCATCGTCGTCCTTCGTTCCCGCGCCGCCAAGCGGATAAACCCATTTCGACTCGGGAACACCTAACCTTTTGGCGAAGGAAGTCGATGTAAGGATGACTGCAGAGGCAAGATTAACCGTGTTGAAGGCGTTCATAAGCAGGGGATCTGCGCGTGTGATGTAAGCGTCCGTTCCTAATGCGGAAAAAGGTGAGACCAACAAGGATAGCATATCATCCTGTTCTTCTTCCCAATAGTCTTGATGTCCTCTTCACTACTTGCAGTTCCTTGACTCCATGCGTACTCATTATTCTTTGCGACGTCTGCAAATTCAGCATACAGCTTTGCACTCTCTTCGTGGTTTGCCTTCAGCGTCTGCCCGCGATGCGCACGGAACGCATTTTCGTAAAGTGGGTAGACATGTATTGGCGCACCAATCTTGTGAATAGCTCCGAGGTCTTTGCCAGAGTCAGTAGAAGAAAGGGTCTGCCAGAGAGAGGAAACCGCACTATTTCCTAGGTCGCGACCTGTTGGTGTGAAAACCGAATCTACGGCTTCGGACGGAGCTGTCCAGCCTGGTGGAGGAAGCTTCTTTGCAGCTGCACACGCGGATACTGGTACAATTAGCGATGAGTGGAGACGGTGGAAAGGCATGCGGTACATACACGAAGCTAATGCTTCACCTCCAGTTACAATCGCGACATTGCATTCGCCTGTTGCAATCCTCTTAGCAGCCTCGTCGAAGAGCTTTCCTGGTTTGTCGCCTCCATGTTCGGAATATCTCTTCCATTTCAGACTCTGATCAATGCCCAGCTTCTCTGCCAAAAGCCCGGGTAGATCTGGATACGGCCAAGTCCACGTCTTGACAACATCGATGCTGTCGATTGCTGACTGCAGATCAGTCTTCGAAAGAGATGCAGTGTCGCTAATGGCCTTTTGGATGGCTTCTAGCACCAATGTTGCGGGCTCCTTCGCATCCGCGATGGCGGTGGAGCGGTTCTTGATGTCGCCTACGCCGATGATCACGGGGGTATTGGTGGACGTCATGTCGTGTTATGGGATTCACTGCAAGACGGCGCAGTTTGACCCCTTGGTCGCGAGATGCAGTTTTATGTGTGTCACGTACTCCGTGATTGAAGGCATGGCTTCCATTGCATGCCGGCGAGTCATGGTTGACGTGAGGAGTCGGATTTGCCGAGGTACAAGTGACGCGAACCACTGCCGCACGCGCTGCTCATGTCCTCGACGCGTAAATTCCGGTCATCGCGATTGATGCATTATCTGCAGCAGTCCTCCAGTCTCTCCATGCAGCGTATAACAATACGACAAAAGCCTGTCCCTCCGGATTGATACCGTTGAGCGGTGTCCGCTGACCCTCCTTCAGTGAGTTGACCACAGGTGCCGCAACACCAGTTTCCTCATCTAGATGGCGACTAACGGACTCCAACTTACGCGTCGCCCATCCTACATACCGTTCCCCGAATGTGCCAGGCTCGAGGACTGCTATTCTGAAGACCGTAGCTGCCATTAATGCTGTCCCAGCAACCTCTGCAAACCATGTCTCGTCATCGAGATAGTTGCGCAACAGGCCGGATGCATCAGTATCAGCCTCTATCGCGCCGTCAAGAATGTCTTTGGTCATATCCAGTAGCGTACTCTGCTCATCAGCGGTTTCCGATTGATATTGAGATTTGCGCAATGTTGCTAGGACCCTAGTCATCCCAGCTGCAGCCCAGGCATTGCTCGTACACCACGCGCCGTCATCGCTCTTTACGCTGTCTGTGCCTTCGTCATTGGCGATATGTCGCCAATACCCTTTCGACGTGCCCAGCACCTCGCAGTATAGCCGGCACTGCTGTACGCTCTCTTTCACCATGCCTGTATCTGAGGTGACGACACCGTGGTATGCAATAGCAGGCGGCACCATGTAGATGAAGTCTGCCCACAAAGAAGGGTATGCATCACGATGCGAAATTGCGCCATTGGTGTACCTGGGCGTGGTGGCGAGCAGGTCGTGCAGCTGACGATCTACAGCGGAAAGGTAAGGATTGTCAGACGCTTGGGAGGTTGTCGATTTGTAAACCAACAAGGCGGGAATGCAAAGAGATGTTGGATCGGACGACGAACCTAGTCGCTATCGTTAATATACCTTCTTCGCGGCCAATATCAGATGGCTTACCGTTGCCGTCACACAATCTCGTGCTATTCGTCTGTATGAACGGTTTCACATACCGCAACGCTTCTACATCCTCAACCGTCAATTCTGGTATCTTGCCCCCTGGAAATGGGTCATGAAAGATGCTGTAACGAGGATCTCTGTACTCGAGTAGCGCTTCAAATACAGTGCCGTACTCTTAGCTATATAACTCTTGTATCTTACTTATAGCTATTATTACCTATATAATTATATATTTTATAATATATTTTATTTACTTTAGTATAAAGTTTTATACTTATTCTTACTATCTAAAATAGCTTAAATACTAACTTATATTTTAACTTATACTTTATAAAAGGTAAAAAGTATATTAGTATACTTCTACTATTTTATATTACTACTAATATTACTTTAAGTAAAAAAAGTAGTTTTTACCTTAAAAAGCTAGTAACTTAGCTAATATAAATAAATAAGTAGTATATCTACTATAGCTATTTTAGCGTAAAAAAAGTATTTATCTACTTAGTATAGACTTATACGCTATTAGTATATACTTATTATAAGTTATATTATATTACGTACTAAGTAAGCGCTTAAAGTAGAACTTATATAACTTAATACTTTATTAAGTATATAAAATTATATTTATAAATATTTTTTAATAATACTTAGTCTATATAGCTACTTAGTAGTAGGTTACTTTTACTATATTAGTAAGTAAGAGCTAGTAGTATTTAATATTAATAAGAATATATAGTTAGATTAAAATTCTAAAAGTAATAAAGGTAGAAAGAAGTACTATAGTATATATATATTATATAAGTAATAATAATGCTAAGGTACTTTATATACTTTACTTCTAACTTATATTACTATATATATAAAGTTATACTTTAAAACTATTACTTTTATTTTATAGTATACTTAATAACTTATTATAATAAGTAACTTATAACTTCTAAAATTTATATATACTTATATAATTAGGTTCTCTTAAAAAGAGAAGTATTGTTAACACAAGAGCCAGCTATGTGACGCAGTCTCCTGCGCTTTGGAGAGAACTTTGTTGATCACAACCTGCGAAATCATATCGCGAACTTTCCGATTGATGCTTTATGTTAGTTCCTAGAGTCGACGGGGATTGTAGCTTCGAAGCGCGTGCATACACGTCTGCGGTATGACGTTCGCGACGCGCGCATATGGTGTCATCACCGCGCCTTCGCTTCCTGCCGCGGGCAGGTGCAGAAAGCTTGGTGAGGGGTTATTGTTCCTTCCAAGCACCCTCGAAGCTTGACCCAACCAACTCGACAGGCCCATGAGAACGACTCAACCTACGTTTTGAGATATGATCGACTGTAGAGGATATTGGGCTGTTGTAAGCTTCCATGACCAAGCATGGGACTCACCCCTGCGCGATGCTATGGGTTATGTGTGTTCAAAGACAGAGATGAGTGTGCTCTAAGAGTACATGGCGTGTGTTGCTACCTGCCTTCAAAAGGGCATGCGGGTGGACTGAATGGTATCAGGAGACCCACATGTTGGTGTGCGCAGGATTGCAGGACCAGCCGTGTCGACTGGGGCGGACGCCCGCGCAGTGTTACCGCACTGATATTTACCGAAGCTGACAGCCAGCTTTTTCTTGAAGGTCGGCAAGTAAGTAAGTACTAGGATGAGATGCGAAAGGGTTCCTTCACTCAGAAATCCGAGTACATGCTAAAGCTGCTAGATTGATGTCTGGTATGACAGTGGGTCGCGCCATCATGGCCCTACGGATGATGTACCCACAAGAGACCCGCAGTGAGCATCCTCGAAGCGACGTCCAAGCTTCTGAGATCCTGCCTGGGTGAACGTGTTACGTTTGAAATCCTGAACGGCACGAATACTGAAGATAAGAGTAGCACATTATGATAACGAAGGAGGCCTAATAGCATTGCAGTCAAGTGTCAGAATCTTCTAAGCGAGTGCCAACATGTCGAGTGTCGAGCTACTGCGTCTTTTGCTATACGGCGCATACAGTCTTGGTTCGTACCATCGGCGGCTTGTCCGGTGAAACCAGACAATCGCGCCGCCGGATGAAGCACAAACCGCGATCCCCGCGATCCCCAGGTTTTGCAGTGGATTGTCAGTCAGTGCATTCTCCATGCGCCCCATGATCAGCTCCATTTCTACCCAGATCCAGCTCGCAAACCAGCGGCGGGTACCTCGAGCGCTAAGCCTTCTAGGCGTATTTCCAGAAGCTTGTCTGAGCTCTGGACACGCCCAGTTTAAGCCTCATGCACACAATACGCGCGGTTGACGTCGGCTCAGTTCTTATCACCTCACTCCGCACATAGGGCGCGTCTTTAAACCCCAACAGACGAACAGTGCCCGTGGCGCAAGGAAGTAAACCCGAAGGAATGCGCGCCGCGCAGAGTGGACGTCATCATACGAGTTAAGCAACGGGCTGCAACCATCACAGCGCTCGAGGTATTTTCCCCCGCCTTTCATACCGGTAGTTCGCACTAGCCAACGATAATTGGTTCCCAGAACCCGTTCTGACAAGGGTCTGGGTTACGATCGTCCCATACGTTCGATAAGGACTTGGCCACCGAAGCCGTACCATGTTTGGGTAGGTCCGAACCGCGAACGTGGAATAATCCTCCTCTCGCGCCGGCCCATACACCACATTTGTTACAAAATCTGCTATCAAGGCCGGCGCATTCTTCAGCCGCCTCTGACATCCCATCTATATAACCACTAGGCATCCCTCTAGGGCGAAAGCAAGATTGGTACCGCCGACCAAGCCCTCCTTCTGTCTCGTGTTAACCATGCCGAACCACCACATGGCCGACGAGAAGCCTGAGGCTGTGCCGTATGGCTACGATGAGAGCCAAGTCGGTTTCGAGGAGCCGTTTGTTCACGGCGCCGCTACTGTTGGTGGGGAGACTGGACGAGGAGGAGACACACATCGTGGACTGAAGAGTCGACACATCCAGTTTCTGTAAGTCTACGTTCTCTTGTGTCGCTGAACCAATTGCTAACATTCTGTCAGTGCGCTTGGTGGTGCTATCGGAACAGGTCTCTTCATCGGATCTGGATCTATCCTTGCTTTGGTCGGCCCTGCTCCCTTGTTCATGGCCTACCTCAGTATGATGCTTGTTGTTTACAACGTCATGAACAACTTGGCTGAAATTGTCACTTACCTCCCCATGCGCGGCATCACCATCCCTTACTTTATCAAGCGATTCGTAGACCCGAGCCTCGCATTCGCCGCTGGTTGGAATTACTGGTACGCCTACGCGATTTTAGTGGCCGCTGAAGCTACAGCCGGAGCCATTCTTGTCGAGTATTGGGAGACGCCTGTCCACAATGCTGTCTGGATTACCATCTTTCTGGTCGTGGTCTTGTTCCTCAACATCGTCGCAGTCGAGGTTTTCGGAGAAGCCGAGTTTTGGTTTGCTTCTATCAAGTTTATCACCATTATCGGTCTCGTCATTCTCGGCTTTGTCATCATGCTAGGTGGCAGTCCCAACGATCAAGGAAGGCTAGGTTTCAGATACTGGAACAATCCCGGCGCGTTCAAGCCGTACATTGTGGAAGGGAATTCCGGACGTTTCCTGGCCTATTGGACTGCATTCGTCCGTGCTGGATTTGCCTTCATCACTTCTCCCGAATTGATTGCGCTCGCTGCCGGAGAGACTATCGCCCCACGCAGGAACATTCCCAAGGCTGCTGGCCGCTTCGTTTACCGTCTCGCCATCTTTTACGGTCTGGGTAGCTTCATCATCGGTGTTATTGTCCCATCAGACGACGATCGCCTCCTCAGCGAGAGCTCCAACGCTTCCGCTTCTCCCTTCGTCATTGGTATCCAGCGTGCGGGAATCGTAGGCCTGAATCACGTCGTCAACGCGGCCGTCTTGACATCAGCATGGTCTGCCGGAAACGCTTTTTTGTTCTCTGGATCCCGTGTTTTGTATGGTATGGCTCTCAACGGAGAAGCGCCTAAGATCTTCGGCAGGACCAGCAAGAAAGGTGTACCATATGTGGCTGTTCTCGCTACATGGGCAATTGGACTCCTCGCGTACCTGAATGTCTCCAGCACTGGCGCCCAGGTCTTCTTGTGGTTCTCCAACATCTCCACTATTTCTGGATTCATTGCCTGGATCGTTGTCATGATCACGTACATTCGCTTCCGCAAGGCGATGATCTTCAACAACTTGCTTGAGTCTCTGCCCTATCGCACGCCGTTCCAGCCATACCTTACATACTTTGTTCTCGGCGTGGTGTCGCTCCTGACTCTGACCAACGGTTTCCAGGTCTTCGTGCCTGCGAACTGGTCAGTTTCTGACTTCCTTGCCGCTTACATCACGATCCCAATCTTCATCGTACTTTATGCTGGCCACAAGATCTACTTCAGGACGCCATTTGCGATCAATGTCAAGCACATCGATGTCATGACGGGTGTGCGGGAGATGAACGAGTTGTGTAAGGACGACATTACTGGTGCACCTGTGCCAAAGAACGTTTGGCAGAAGATCTGGTACTGGATTGCTTAGATTGGCACAACAAAACGGTTGCAAATGTTTCTTCTACTTGCTAGCGCGTGCTTTCATCTTTTTAGCCGTATACCATTGCTAGATCAACAAGCTGACTCGGCACTGTTACTCCTGCTCGCAAGCATTGCACTTCTAAGGCGTCACGTATCAGAGTTTTTTGATTGTGAAGACTCTCGCCCTCTGTTATGCTCTTACTGGCTGGTTGAGACATGCGGCTCAACCATCAGATCAGCC